ATCGCCCAACTACGGCAATCTGTGCAGGGCGAGACCTCAGAGACACCGCGGAAACTGCCTTTGGCGGAGAAGGCGGCACGAGCTGAGGACCAAAAGCGTAGGCTTGTTGGCGTCCACATTGAGCGGGACATGATCCCATCGCACGCCCTCGTGGACCTGTGCTGTCACATGCTTGATGTGGGGGTGACTTGGATTTCTCCCGGCAAGTGCACCAGCCGTGAAAGTGAGATACAACTGTCGACCAAGGACCAGAGCCGGGTCTTCCGACTTGAGGATAACTCACTTAAGGTGGGTAGCGATCAGCCCAAGGACACCGCTTCCTTTGACTCTCCGATCAAACTCCAGTGGTGTTTGCAGCGACGTGGATTGGCTCTGGACCAGGCCAGGGTCATGTCGTGGGCCCAACACGAGCGGTGGGTTCATTGCTTGCTGCATGCGCTCACCAAGGAATGCCCTGCGGGTTTTCACAAACCAGACATGAATCGCATCGTTCAGGCAGACCGTGAGGCATGGCTGATCATGGCTTCTGAAGTTAAGTCGATTAAGGTCACTGCTGCCGGGGACTTTCCTTTGGGCTTGGCGCTCGACGCACTGCGAACGGACCCTCGGATCACCATGTATCTAATGGCCACGTGGGGCAGGGCGCCTGACGTCAAGCCTGTTGATGTGGATCACCCACCGCCGGCTCACAACAAGCCCGGCGAAGGCTTGTCTCGATCTGCCAAGCGCCGACGCCGGCTTAAAGCCGCAGCTGCTTCGAGAACTACCACGCCAACCGGCAAGGCCCCCTCGGCTGCTCGCACCATGCCTGCCGAGCTTAAGGATGCTCACCAGAAGGCCGAGGATGGCACGCCGATCTGTTGGGACCATAACTGCGGTGGATGCAAGAACAAGACCGAGGGCGACCCTCCACGGTGCAATCGGGGGGTCCACATATGTGCCTACTGTCGCCGGGTCGGTCACTCCTTTCGCAACTGTCGTGCTCGAAGCTGGAAGGGTGCCGGTAAGGGCAAGGCCAAAACCGAGTGACTCGCTGTTCCTCTTTGTGGCCCTAGCACAGTCGAGGCGGCCGCAATTTCAGGTACAGGGCCACACGTGGCCGGATATTCGTTTGAGGCTGCCGTTTTTCACTTTGCTCCTAAGGTACCGACTGAGGTTGAGCGCTTGGCTGCCGACTGTTTGCGTGCCGGTTTTGTGAGTTTCGATTCGCTCATGTCCATGAGTGCTTTGCTTCCCGTCGATACAGTTCCGGGACCGTCAGGTAAACCTGTGGAGCCTCATGATCCAAGGGCCTTTACTTCGGGTGCCTTTGTGCACCTCAACGACACAGGACTACGATCCAATTTTCGGGTTTTTCCCATGTCAACCTCATTGCTTGCACGGGTTTTGGCTGCACAATTCCCGGGGCGCATGTTTTCCTCCGTCGGATTATTTTTCAACTTGAGAGCACCTGTTCACTCTGATGCCAATAACGACCATCGCCACCCTAATCTGCTTCTGCCGGCGTCGTGCTTTGTCGATGGGCAGGTCTGGGTTGAAGGCAAAGGTGCTGTGCCGTGCCCAGACCCACAGGTCAGGCGGTGTGGATACTTGCTGCCGGTGCACCAGGGGCCACAGCTCCTTCCATCGGAGCGTCTTCATGCCACCTGTGACTGGCGTGGCACGCGCCTTCTTGTCGTGGGTTTTTGCATTCGTGATTCTTCGACCTTGACTCAGGATCATCGCCTTCAACTTTGCGAGGCTGGCTTTCGTCTACCCGGCCACGACTGTCATGCTGCTGCATCTCCTGCCTCTGTCGAGCACGACGGCGGCTACGCACCACCTCCGGTTGATAGGCCTCCCCCCGCCCCTTTGGGTGACCCTAGTGCCTGCCCCGGTTCCAGTGCTGCCAAATCTTGTTCCGTGCAATTCCAACGAGGAGCCAGCAGGTCACCGCCTCGGGTTGTTAGGCCCCCGCCTCCCCTTTCGGGTGACCCTAGGACCTGCCCTGCTGCCCATACGGTGGGCCCAGGCCCTGCGCCTCGGCCGGGTTGCTTATCGCCTGCCGGTCCCTGTGACTCAGGTAACCACTTCAACCGCCGCTTCGGGGTCTGCTTCTTCACACTCTTCTACCTCTGCGGCTACGACCAACCGTGTCTTCCCCGACCAGGTCGCGCCTTTGGTTTTGGAGGTCTTTGCGGGTACGGCGCGCCTAAGTTCTGCGTGTCAACGGCTTGGCTTTCGCACTTTGGCGGTCGACAAGGCCTCTGCGCAGAGTCGTTTTCCCATACAGCAGCTTGACCGGAATGACCACATGAGGCAAGCTGAGCCGGAGCAACACTTCTTGGAACAGCTGCATCACGAGGAGACGGTGCAAGTATGCGGTCTCTTGCAAAGCGATGACCCTTGCTCGACTAGTGCAGAGTTGATCGTCGTGGGCATCCCCCGTGAACCTCAGAACTTCGTCAATGAGGCGGTCAAAGCGGGACACCCTCGGAACGGGCTTGCTTCCAGTCGGTCTGGGCCGGCTGCTGACATTGTGGATGCTGTGCTCTTGTCCTTTGAAGACAGGGAGAAGAGGGCTGAGGCCACAAGGCAGCGATGGAGCAACATAGAGGCGACTACGAGATCTCTGAATGACAAGATACTGAAGGGCAAGCCCAAGTACTTGACCGAGGCTCTTGGCAACAAAAATGTCCTTGCCTGGAGAGACATCCTTCGACACAACGGCTTCAAGGACGATCAGCTTTGGGCGGATCTGAGAGATGGATTTCGCCTCACCGGATGGATGAGGGACACTGGAATCTTTGACAAAAAGTTGCGACCTCCCGAGACCACCCTTGAAAGGCTGCTTGAACAATCCAGCTACCGTACTCCTCTTACCTTGAACAAGTTGAGGAAAACGGTGGTGGATGATACCACTCGCAAGGCGTGGGCGGAGACGCTTGAGGAGGAGAAGAAGGGATGGATCTTCCGAGACGCGATGGCGACTGATAAACCGATGGTCATCGCCCATCGGTTTGGCCTGGAACAGAAGGGCAAAGTCAGGGTCATCGACAACGGCAAGGAATGTGGGCTTAACTTGGCTTGCGGCTTGCCAGAAAAGTTCACACT